ATATATAATACAGCTGACTGTGAAGACTGGAATGTGGTGGTAAAAACCTTCATGTAATGTTGAAATAACGTTGAACTATGAACGTTTCTACATCTTACAATTATAATATAAATATAAATGTATAATTCCAATTAATACAATTATAATTAATCCAAGTAACTGGTTCCAATATTACTTTTAACTTTTTTACAACCCAATATAGGGTTGAAAAAAAGTGTATTGCATCATCGTAAAGTCGCGTTAGTTCAACGCTTTTTCAACACATAAATACAATGTTAAATACTTAGTTAAGCATTTAATACACATAAATATAAATAATTATACATATATCTACAATAGTATTTTATATCATATATATGATAATCAAAGCGTGAAAATCCTTCACAACATCAGAGGTGCAATAATCTTATTTTAATAAATGAAATAAATTTTAATGAAACTTGAATGATATATTTCCATTTACTCTGCACCGTCTCTTTATTTTATCCACGGAAAAGTGGACTTATTTTTAGAGAGGCCACTTGATTTCATTGGGGCTGACATTCCATGCTAGGACGAGTGGACTGGACTGGAGTAAAGTGGACTGCAGTGGACTGTAGTGTATTTGAGTGGACTGGAGTGGACTGGAGTGTACTACTGCAGCCACTGCCGCACCATAACATCCCGGGGGTAATGACAAGCAGTTCATGAATCACATCTTTAATTCTTCACAATCAACGAGCGGGTGTGCACAAATTTTCGTCACTTTTTAGCGCATTTTCTCATTTATGAAAAAATGCACTATTGTGCTCGCCATGTCCGTCCGTCCTTCCGTCTGTCTGTTTGCCCGTCCGTCCGTCTGTCCGTCTGTCTGTCCGTCCGTGAATTCACGTTTTCGTCGACGAGAAAATGCGCTCTCTGTCACTCGCTGCAGTGAGTACTGAGTTATATTTTTTAGTTTTCGGTCCATGCTATAATATACAATGCATTTATTATAATACATTTTATATATTATAATATTTAGTATATATTGCTTGTGAACTTTACAGGAATAAAGCAATACAAGAAAGGCAATCACTGCAGTGACCAATCACCCATAAATCTAATCCATGAACTATACCCACTTATCATGTTAGAGTGATAATAATCAATGCAATAACCATTTATTAATCATCATGAACCTATCTATCATGCAATTTTTTCTGAACCACGAGAAAAGAAGGACCAATGACACCTGAACCTGGAAACGCAGCCACTAAGCTGTATAAGTGGATCGTTGACGCTCCAAGTATGAACGCGTTCAAGAACAGACTAGATAAAGCTATGGAAAAATATATGTTCAGATTTGAAATGCCTAGCTCCTTATGGAACCCGGTGGCAGTCTAGTAGCTACTTCAAACTATCGTCAGTCATGAAAAGATCCGGTCAAATGACACGACCCAGTCAGAAATCGCCGCAGTCTGGAAGCCAGCCGCGGGTGAACTTGCCTGCGCCAACGCTCGCCCCAGCGCAACGCCAGGGTGATCAACAGCGCAGGAATGTCCACAGCAGCGCAATATTGTGGCAGCGCTTCTCGGCCTGGAAAGGGCCTGCTGCCGCAGTCAGTCTGTCCT